GGCCCTCGCTGCATCGGAGGAGGAGTGGTGTGTTTAAGTGGCCCTTTGACAACCGCGACTATTTGTACACGCGTGTGTCCGCGCGGGGAAGTCGGTCAATGTCAGCGGGTCGGAAAGCGCTCCCTGGGAAGTTGCATAACCTAGGGGCCCAGGGCATTAGATAAGGAAGTCGAACAATATTGTTGGCTGTTCGCCACAATCCTTCCACTGTAAGTCCTTTGTGTGGATCCTCGAAGTAGATGTGCACGGGCAAAAATTACCATTATGAAGGTCTACTACTACTCCACCCCCGCCTGACTTCTGATCCCTGATAATTTGGCTCAACTATTCGAGATTTCATCTGGGTTGTATCCTGGCGTCAACTGAGTTGAATTATGCAATTGACTGAATACTCGGAAGGGCCCCACGCGGTTTTGACGGTGCTGAGTTTGTACTCTGCCGGCCGATCTACACTGACGATATCGGTTGGTTAACTCGGGCTCTGGTGGTATGCATTAAAAAATTGTTCGATTCTGATGACTTATCGATTTAGTTACTCACATAGACTCGATGTATGTACCTCTAAACCTAAAGCTTGCTCATCTAACACGATTTTTACGATTTCGGTATCTCCAGTTTACTAAAAAACGGTCCTTTCTGGACAAAGTAATACTAGTTTGAATGTCGCTCTGGCGTTTCACTTCATTTGAAATCGTACATAAGTTGATAAAACTGGATCGGTTTCCGAATGATTACAGATTTTTCATAGATTTTGGCACGTTTTATGTGTTAGGTCACTTACTGCATGTCATAGGTCAGTGGCACCATTAAATCCAATTTCATCAAGGTCTTGCCACCGCTTACACTTTGCGCAGTACTTGTTCTTGGTATGCTTGATCTAACCGGCTTCAAGGATGTCACGGACGATGCCCCTCCACACAGTGGATTTGGAAAGCTCTACTCATTCTCTTCTCCAGTGACGGAGATCGAATATCGAGGTTCCAAGAACCGCTTCCATGTCTTGAAGGACGGTGCCGAGCCAAGTCTTCGATTCGACGCCTGCAGATAGGATGCAACGCCGGATCGGCGCAGTATAAGAAAGCTTATGAGGCAGACGATGGTGAACGTACCTAAACCACCCCAATCGTCTTTCCTGGATGGCCTGAGATATTCCCGCGATACTGTCGCAGCGACTGCGGAGAAGTAAGTATAATTCACTCGAAGGATGGTCCTCAGGTAGCGTTGGGCAAATAGCTCCTGCTTTCGGTCATCTTCAATGCATAAAGCCCAACATTTACATCCATAGAGGACTGACCGGACGGATGCCAGTGACGCCAGTTGACATGCTAACCTCTCAAGGAAACTATCTGATTGGTCCGATTGCAGTCCGACAGTGTAAAAATGCTTTGGCCTTAAATACGCGATAATAATGCGTCAATACACTTCCAATCTCCGCTCTTGCCGTTAATTTCTCCGTTGGTACGGGCATGGCCTCAAGCGCACCATTCCGAGGAGCCAACTAAACGGTTATGTGCCGTGCACAGTGTTAATAAAAGCCCGCGGCTTGCAGGCGGCAAAAAAATCGATACGGAATTTAATGAAACAAGGA